TCTTGCTTAAGATTAAAGGGGTCCTTTTTGAAAATATGGGAAGATAGGAGTGTATATGCTCTTAAATTTATGCACTTCGCTAATCTAAATTCTTCTTGAGAATGAAAAAAAATTGTATTAAACTTGGATAAGATCATTTAGGGGCGACGAGGGGTAGGGCAAATTACCGTCGTTTTTGGCAATTATTTATCACCAATCGATATTATTGTTGGACTGACGTACTTCACCTGACCAATTGAAAATTTCAGGGCCCAATTTTTGCGTTTTTAGCAAATCTTTTTTGGTGCAAATACACAAATTAATTAACTTAATCACCGACAAATTGTCCTAATAAATAATGTTATGTTTTGAAAGTTGTGTACATGATAAACAAAATTAGGGATGTCAAATCTCATCTACCATAACCCATAAGATGTTTAAATATCATATCTTATAAAAGAAATAATCTCCTGAATTAAGTCGACAAGGAGGGATTTCTAATTATTAAAACCAAAAATTGAAAGTACGATTAGTATTATATAAATCTGCTCTTATGAATGATTGACTGGCATGATTCGCTCGCTCCATTAATCGCCATTGTACATGTCGTACATTAATCTATTAGTTATGAAAAAAAAAAAAAAGTATTTTTGTAAAGTATTTATTATCAAGGTGAAACTGAAAAGTAGGGCAAATATGGTAAAAGAGGAATAATATATGATTATCCCAAAAAAATAGAAAAACTTTAATTTGGGAAATATATATGGGGATTTCCCATTTTCCCCATCCCAATGTGCTTGTTTTTGGAGTTTGGGGGATTGTTATGAATGAGAATAGGGCATAGTGATTGTGAGAGGTAAGGGTGGCATGGATTATTGTTTCGGTGATGATGGATTGTTGTTTGCATGCTTGTGTATAAGATATATATTAATTTATAAAACTTGTGTTTATAAGATTTCTTTTAATTTATAAAATACTAGGTTAAAATCCCGTGCAATGCACGATTGTTAAATATTTTTGACAATAATATTATAATATACTCCGTATAAAGTATATAAAAGATATGCAAAAATATTTCATTTGAGTATATATGAAATATGAATATCAAAATAGAAAGAAGATATCATAAGCTATAAATAGTTTGCTTCAAGATTTTGTAAAAAAATAGAAAAACAAAAAAAAAAGCGAAAAAGGCGGGAAAATTTTTCACAAGGTAATGACAAGTGTCATTGGTTATTCGCTTTTAGTGTAAGTTAATAGATTTTCCATTCACAATGTATGTAATATCTTCGATTTCCAGGTTAAAAACATGTTTATTAGAGGTTTCAGGGTTATTTAGGCCTGAAAGAATTTGATTTGAGGTTAAAATTGACAAAAAAAAGATTAAAATGTCTCGTTTTGCGTAGTAATACATACCTCGGTTTGTGTAATGCACACAAAACGAGGCATTTTTGAGAATGTTTTGCCAAATTTGGCCTCAAATCGAGGTTTTTTAGATCGAAATGACCTCTATAACTTTAATAGAGCAAGTTTCATCACGCTAATCGATGATTTTTTTAAAAAATATGAAACTTAACGGTCTTTCTACCGGAAAATGTTAAGTGGTGGTGAAATTCATTTTTTATTTTTTCCTTTTTTTTGTGATATTTTCACATAAAAATTAAAAAAGATGGTTAGTTCAAAATATGTAGGGTGTTCTAGAAGTGGTAAAATACAAAATTTTCTAATTTATACAAATCTACCACTGCTAGTCAATGGGTTGGAACTTGAAAGGAATAGCATCATTTGTAGCAAGTAGCTAGTAGCAACCAACATACTAAATATTTGTGTTGTAGATTTGTAGACCACGTGTAAATCCAAAACAGAAGATAATTTTGAATAATCTGAGATAAAACATTTGTCAAAAGTTGTATCTTCATTTAAATCATTTCCATTATTCAAACTAAAAGTCATATATAAATGAGCTTGCCAATAATGGAATTGAGTATTAATTAGTTCTCTTATAAAAAAAAAAAAGGAGAGAAATTTGGTCAAAAAAAACTTTGATTGTTATGTATATATGTAAATAATATAATAATGTACACATATCTACTAGTAAAATACTTCAATTAGCATTATCGTAGAACAAACCCCACTTTCTAAGAAGATTGGTTCGTTCATACGATCACATGTTTACGGTGGCTAATTATACTAAACCACACGTTAACGGTGACTAATTAAACCAAATTACACGTTCATAACATTATAAATTTTTAATTAATTAAACTTCCATATGCCTCAAATCTTATTTCTTATTAAACTATATATACTAATTCCGTAATTCGTATACGTTAACTATGATATATATGTCCCAATGAGATTTTCGTTGCCATTTCAATATGTTGTATAGTTAATTGATTGTTTTGCAAATTGCTGCTAACTTTTTGGGCTTCACCAATCACTACATATATACCGTGTTAAATATACAATATTATCTACTTAACTTTTAAAAATCACAGACTTAGGACTTTAGGTTGATAAAAGAAATTAATTAAACAAATAAAGACACCCACATTATGAATTTAATCAAGTCGTTTGATTAAAAAATCATATGATTTATTTTCATATGCATAGTGATATTGTTATATTGTATTTGTATAACATAGAATTAAATTGTTCTTTGTCAGTATTTTAAATATACCCTAAATGTAATGGGGTTAAAATAAAGTTTAGAATAAAACGACTAGTAATTTCGAATGAAGAGCGTAGTTTACAAGGTGAAACAAAATTAGCAAATACAATAATTAAAAGTCTCTTTATAAAATTTAATTCAATATGAGTGATGAGTTTGATTTTTACAACAATGAAAAAATAATGAGTAAGAATAAAAATATTGGTATAATTACAACTACATAGATAAAATTTAAATAATACTCCTTAATATGTAGTACATAACTACATACTAAATATATTTTAAGCTTGTATGTACTTATCATTGACACTCAATAGTCATTATGAGATACAATATCCGTAAGAAATTAATGTAATGAATTAAATATGGTAGTTTATAATTTAAAAATTAACATTATACATACGACGACAAAGAGTAAGGAATCAAATGCAAGTTATACCAAAAAAATTAATTCATAAAGCTAAGCTAAATGATTCTATCACTACTAGCTAGGTATTAGAGTCTCTTGCCTTGTACTTAAGAATTTTACCATTTATTACAAGCATGTCTACATTGCCTACATAACTACAAAAGCTGAGGCAAAGCTTCTTAATTTGGGTACTAGCTTGCTTGCAATTTTGCGATTTATATGTTATTATAGCCAATGAAATCATGGAAAGATCAGATTCGAGGCTTTTATCTAAAAGCATATGAAGTTGAGAATTCATTCACATAGTCACATGGGGTTATTACTATACGTGCTAATGTTTTTGCTAAAGGCTTTATTTGTTAACCCACCAAATATTTCATCATTCTACATTTACAAATTAGAAGGTTATAGAATGCCAACAACCTTATGCTTGCGTAACTATTATATTATTCAATCTATTATTGTTTTCTCATCTACGCTGTTGATAATACTCTTTGTAAAGTTTATTCAAAAAAAAAAAAAAAAAAAAAAAAAAAAAAAAAAAAACTCTTTGTAAAATTTGAAGTAAGAGAGAATTTATTCACTCGCAAAAAACTTTTATATTGGTACATTCATTTTATATGTTCCGTAGTACTTTAATGATATTTGTTATTACTTATTATTAAGAAAAATAAGTATATATCAATTACACCTTTTAAACAATTTTTTTTCCTTTTTGAATAAGTAAGTTAGACAATTACAATAATTTTTTATAAGTTCAACTTTTTATAAAGAGTAATAAAAAGCAACTTAACATTTCTAAGGAGTGCGTTTTTAGGAGCAGTTGCCGATCGGTCAATGAGTCAATTTATATAGAAGTAAATCATTCATCATGAACAAAAATTTCTCAGGAAAATTGGCAGCTATTGACTATTATTGAGCTTTTATTCAAACACCCACCATATCCTTTGAAGTTTGAACTAGTAATAAAGAGAGTATTCATTACAATTCAAAAACCATATTCTTTTAACCTTTCAAGCCCATTAAACTAGCTATACCCCTCGTTGCCCCGAGTGAAATATGAAAACCAAAACTTGTACCTACTCATGAGTCATGATACTCACAACCTCACATTATTATTGATTTATTATTACTCCGTATTATTTATCTATTTTGAATGTACTCTGTATTATTTATCTATTTTGAATGAGCTTTTACATATTAAATTACGAAGTATATCATATACCCGAGTACCTAGTATTATTAAAATCTTTTCATTTGAAATTTAAATTACTTTTGGTTTTGAGCTTTTTCATAACTGGATTAATTTGTTCTTTACAATTTGTGAACACCCTTTATTGTTTCACCCCTCTTTATAATTTTATCCATCATTGTTTTCACATCACTCACATTTTTTTTTCTCGTAACTTTGCCCACATTTTCCCTATTTACTCACTCACCTTTTCCAAATTTCCTAAACTCTTGTAGGATACATAATATGTACTCACCTTTATGAATATTATATGAGCTGAATTTTTAAAAATGGTACGTTTATAAATTATGGCAAATGCTAACGAGCACTCCAGGAACGTTGGATAAAATAATAAAAAGTAGAATATTAACTTGAAATAAATATTAATCATACCGATTGACGTGTGATTTTGACATACATTCTCAAATTAATACTATATTATGAAATATTTTGTAAAGTTATCCAACATTTCGAAAACGTTCATTAGCAAGATACATAAATTATTAATCCGTATATGATGTTATTTAATTACATCGTACTATTTCTGATATGAGGCCGTGAGGAAGGATAAAGAGAGGGGACAAATCTGACACATGAGTCTTTGATTAGGCCCATAAAATTTGTAAGAATCATTAATTAACGTCCTTACTTAAATACAATCAATGAAAATGATTCAAGGAATCTAATCACCCACTCAAAATTACATTGCAAAAAGATAAAAAAAAGGGCAAATTGCCCGGAAATATCTGACTATCTGCCCGTCGTCTGTCCATAGTTGTGAGTACCCCACACGGTCAGCCTTTCTCTCTCTAGATCAACGGGCAGTCCCAAACTCCCACACTGCCCGTGTCCCATTTTCTCTCTCGTCTATCAATTTTAGTCCTACTAGTATTAGTATTAGTATACATACTAAACTAAAGGCCTACTTTAAAACCACCCTTCTCACTTTCCCTTCCATCAATCCTACGCCACCCACCGTCTCACACCACCGTGCACGGTGGTTCTGGTGCACGGCCTGGTGGTTTAACAAAAATGGGTCAGGGGATGAGTTGTGCGTCTCCTAATAACCATGAAAATGGGATTTTTAAAGCAGCTCAAATGGGTGATTTAGATACTTTAGTATCAGAATTAGAAGATGACCCTTCTCTTTTATATGAATTTTCTCTCTATGATCGTAACTCTTTGCTTCATGTTGCTGCTTCTTATGGTCAGATCGAGGTGGGTTTATGAAAATTTGATTTATGGGTTTTTTTAAAGGTTTGATTTTGGAATGTGGGTTTGTTTAAAGATGGATTTTTGGACATTTTTTAGGTTGTTTCTTGGCTTTTGGAACGATCTGTTAATCTTGATGCCTTAAATCGTCATAAACAGGTGAGCTAATTTTTTTTTTTTTGGGGTCTTTTTTTTGTTGTAACAATTTTTTTTTAAAATTTATGGGTTGACTCATTTGTTGATTAATGGTTGAATAATTCAACACTTCAACAGACACCTCTTATGATGGCTGCTATACACGGGAAAATCTCGTGTGTGGAGAAGCTCCTTCATGCAGGAGCCAATGTAAGTCAATCTTCATTTTATCCTTAACTTTCTCATTTTTAGCTGTTTTTTGGGAAAATTGGAAAAAAAAAAGTCTGAAAATCGAAAAAAAAAAGTTGCAATTTTAAAGTAATTTTCACGTAATTTCTTGCTAAAAGTTGTTGCCTTTGATGATATTCTAGCAAAAAGATATGAAATTGGATGATATTTCGGGGTGAATCTGATTTGGGGTTTTTAAAGTTTTGGTAGTTGAGAAGTTAAATTAGTGTGATACTAATATGATAATTTGTGGAATATTTTCAGATTTTAATGTTTGATTCTTTGCGAGGAAGAACTTGCTTACATTATGCTGCCTATTATGGGCGTTCAGAATGTCTAAAACTCATAATTTCTACCGCCCGTACATCGCATGTTGCCATTTCTTGGTATGTCTCTTATATACACCAACCTAATTTAATTATCTGAGTATCTTGTTGAAATTAGATTGTATTATTGGATGAAATTGGGTTCATAATTGAGGTGGATTTTCAGGGGATTTGCTCGATTTGTGAATATTAGAGATGGAAAAGGCGCTACCCCATTACACTTGGCAGCCCGTCAAAGACAGCCCGAGTGTGTTCATATTTTGCTTGATTGTGGGGCTTTAGTTTGTGCTTCTACTGGAGGATATGGGTGAGTAATGGATGGTTGTAAAGATATACCAAATTTGTTGAATTTGGCACTATTGAGATTTCATTTGTCTAAAGTGGTTTGGAATTTTTGTGTGTAGCTATCCTGGGAGCACTCCACTACATTTGGCTGCTCGGGGCGGATCCCTTGATTGCATCCGTGAATTGCTTGCATGGGGCGCAGACCGGCTGCAAAGAGATGAATCTGGGTATGGATTTTTTCCATACTTCTCTTTATTGATTGTTGTTGTTATTTAAAAACTCTGTGTTGAATGATTCACTAGATATCAAAATCCCGTGTTTTTGGTAGTTCTCCCTCCGTTTCATATTGCTCTTCCTACTTTGACCAAATGTATCTCACAAAAAAGTAGGAAGAACAATATGAAATGGAGGGATTATCATGTTGTATAAGAAACTTGTTATTCATTTCACAAATTCAGAATTGATGTTCTGTTTAAGAAATCTATGGTTTAGTGTTAGATGTTCTAATATCGGCATGCCACATTTACTATGCTTAATCGTAGTTCCTTTATAGAAATTGCGGGAAAAAAAATCTGAAATAAGAAGAAATTATCTCAAATCTGAAATCTTAAATAGATCCTTGTATCATATTTTTTAGTTGAGTTAATTGCTTGTGCTGACTGTTGTTGGACCTGTTTTTACAGGAGAATACCATACCTAGTGGCTTTAAAGCATAAGCACAGGGCATGTGCCGCCTTGTTAAATCCATCATCAGCAGAGCCTCTTGTTTGGCCTTCACCATTAAAGTTCATTAGTGATCTTAATCCAGAGGCCAAAGTTTTACTCGAACGGGCTCTAATGGAGGCCAATAGGGAGAGGGAGAAGACCATCTTAAAGGGAACTGATTACTCAGTTTCTTCTCCATCACATTCAGATGGTGGGGAAATTGATGATAGTTTGTCAGAGGTATACTGCTTCTTCAATATCTTTTTGAACTTGGTAACAATGTGATGAGGAAACAAATTATAGGAAGGTGGTGTTATCAGTCTTATTCCGTTATATGTCAGAATGATAGCTTCTTCTCCTGCTAGTTTGCATACTGATAGTCTGATGCTATGAACATGCGATATAACAAGAGAATGATGGTTATTCTAAATGCACAAACAATAAGGAATATTTGTTAATTAAAAGTATGTGAAGATTTTTCGTGTCGCTTTTATCTAGTATCAAAACTGAAGTTTACAATAGTGACTTTCCCATAATCAGCGGGTCAAATGATCATCTCCACAATGACTGATGCTAATGATGCTTGCAATTGCTGTTTATTAATGCTTTTTGTTATTTTAAAAATGTTTGTTAGCAGCATGGTTACTACTTTGGAATTGATGAAATTAATTGTGATAATTGCAGACTAGTGAATCGGAACTATGCTGCATATGCTTTGACCAAGTCTGCACAATTGAAGTCCAAGACTGCGGGCATCGAATGTGTGCTCATTGCACCTTAGCTCTTTGTTGCCATAACAAGCCAAACCCAACAACAGCAAGCGTAAATCCACCTGTTTGCCCGTTTTGTCGGAGCAACATTGCTCGTTTAGTTGTCGCTAAGTTAAGCATAGAAACCGATGATATTGATTTGTGCTCCTCGAAGTCAAGAAAATCAAGGAGATCATGGAACTTAAGTGAGGGAAGTAGCAGCTTCAAGGGCCTCTCGGCCTTTGGGAAGATGAGTGCTCGAGGTTCAGGGAGAATCAGTGCAGATGAGTTGATTGATAAGCCAAATGAATAGAGGATTTTTGGTGTTTAAAGGTCCGAGCTTTTGAACAGGCGCTAAAATGGTCAGTCGTGGTCGGTCCAAGAACCTGTTTTGGGTGAAATTATAATTATATAAATATCTATACATAGAAACTGCATATGCCAAAAAAATGTGATGTGGGAAACGAGGGCAGAGAGGAAAAATGAAGGAGGAGGATTGCGGGGGGGGAACTTTTGTTCGGTAAGTTTGTTCTTTCGGGTCATTATTTTGTTGTTCTTTGCTTAAAATTCAAATGAAGTGCGAGCCATAAATTTTTTTGGGGAGTCAGTAGAAACTGTTACTAGTCCCGTAGATAGCATGAATTCTTTTTTTACCTTCTAGAGAAAATCTTTATTCATCAATGGCTGCTCGATTAGATGACGTCATTGGTCAGACCCTTTGTAAGAGTCAAAAAAAAAACATAGGGGGTTCATCACCTACCTTTCATCCTTCTACCTCGTCGAGTCTTTACCTTTTCTCTCCTCGCCTTCGTTTCCCCTCTTGATGTAGGAGTAAAAGAGGGGTCATGGGCAAACCATGTACTGTTTTTCTTAATTTTCTATGATGTAAAAGCCACAATACAATGTATATTATATCAAGGCTGAACTTCTGGTTTGCGATAGAATAAGCTCTTACAAATTAAAAAAGATGTACGGAGATCTATTGTTGAAGATATGCTTATTGAGTTATTGGTTCAGATTTTACCTCATTAAAGATGCTTACAAATTTACAATGTTAGTGTACTTATTCAGTTATTCGGTGGGAAAGTTTATTCTCATACAAGTAAAAAAAAAAAAAAAAAGAACTTATCCGAGATTACTTTTTACCCATTTTTAAGCGGTAACTTACAAGATGATCTTATGCAAAGTACGGAGTACTCTGTAATAATAAATTAGGATGAGATAGTCTCACCCAAAACTTGTAACTGCTGCGTTCACATGCCGGTATGTCATGAGTTGACATGGGTGGTTGAGATGTGATAATTATTGACAACTTGTTTAATTTAGGGTAGCTATTTCTTCATCCTTAAACCTAGATCTCATCTACTTTAGGTGAACTAGTTTAATCCTATAAGAAGTGGATAATAATTGAACAAGATCTACAAGAAGTTTTGAGAAGAAAAATACAAAGAATGGATGAACCAATCCATAAATCATAATAGAGGTGAAGAGATCATGTGAGCGTGTACAAATAGGGTCAAATAATTTGATGATATCCTCCAAATAAATACTATCTTATGAATGTGAAATGTCTTGAAAAAATCAATCAGTAAATGAAATACAATTGTCAAAAGTACACGTAGTTTTGTACCTATCAAAATGGTTGTCCTTTTACTTTCATCATCGCCAATATATGGGGCACTTTTGCTTTGCTATTTTGCCACCGTTGCCCGCGCCTGAAAATGACTCTTGGATAATTTGTCCTAAATTAAAAAACTTTAATAAAAATAAATAAATAAATCTCTGAGATATTTAATTATTAACTTGAAAACGACTTGTAGATTATATTTGACCTATGAATGAACTAGTGATACAAATTCACATAAGTTAATTGTATACAGTTTATGTTTCGCTGTGGATTATTGTGGATGACCATATGAGATAGACTTCGATTTATACAGTCAATCACATCTCTTTGAATATAAGACTTTTGGCTTTGTTAATTTTGTATGCCATTTCTGTCTTTGGAACCTCAAGCTTAAACTTTGTAGAAAGAAGAACACCTTCTAATTTCAAAGTTACCGGCTAACATTTTATGAGAGGGAATCACTTATCATTTCCTATTCTTACAGTGTCTAACTTGTTAATTTAAACTGTTTATTTATATCAAAAAAAATTATACTCCGTAAATAAAAAAAAGTGATTTGGATCCAACGTCATTATAAGGAGTCCCTAATCTCTCTCCTACGTTGGTGGGGAGTGCCAAGTCGGACCATTGGTGAGATGCATGGGCAAGAGACAATAGGGCCAAAGGAGGGCCAAAACTGACAATGTACACGTTAACAAGCTGCTTTAAGCAAAGAATATGTCGTGGGCCAGTGGCCCCGCTTGATTTGTTTTAGGGACAGATCACCGTACAGTGTCTTATACATGACGCATGTCTTCTCACTAGTCAGATTTCTAGTTTGCTGCTCTTTTTGCTAACACACTAAACATACGGCAAATGGTTTGTGTTTAATGCTCAGTTTTCTTTTCGTGATCTCATGCTCTCTAGTCTCAATCTCACATTTTGTTTGATCTACAACCTTTTCTAATCCTTGTTAGTTAGATCATGGTTAATTAATTTGGACTCTAAAGGATTATGACGAGTTAAGCTTACAACAGTATGATTGAAAACAAAGACATACGTATTCTTAAAACATGTTACGATGTATTAAGAGGTTTATTTGCCAAGTTAATAATAACTTCGGTACTCCATTTTAGACAAGTGCAACCCCTTTTAACGATTTTAAGCTTTTTAAGGTCATTTCTATCAATAACTTAATGCACTAGTCCATCTAGTTAAGGATTGCCTGATCTAAAATAAACACATATTAAAGGTGTACAAAAACTGGTCCGGATGTGAAAACTGATCGGAACTGGACATGTTGAGATCGGACCGGTGGATTCAGGTCCAGTCCTAGTCCTTTAAAAACCATGATTCCGGGTTTCCGGCCCAGTCCAGATAAAACCCGGAATTTTTAGGTTCGGACCTGAAACCCGGTAAAATTGTATTTTTTTTTAAAAAAAAAGCTTTTATTCAAAAATCAAAACAACAAATCAGTTTTCATTTCAAACCCTAACTCCTTGACGCCTTCACGGCCTCACCCAGTCACCCCTCACCCTCACTCCTCTCAGGCCTCCACAGCCACGTGACCACTGTCCACCAGAGTACCAGACACTGGCCACCGCTCACCAGCACGAAAATCCCCTTACACTAGGCCACTAGCGCGACAACCCATGCCCTCTGCTCTTACCTGAGTTGTAGTGTCGCGAGCCCACGAATCCCCTCACGAAGTCACTCACTCCTCACAACAATTGCTGGTTCAACCACCAGCGCGCACCACAACCCTTGCTCCGGTCACTGTAATTTGGGACTTTATAGAATTTATGTAGTTTTGTGATTGAGAATTAATTTGAGATTTTATGTAATTATTAAATTATAAAACAGGTCTATAATTATCATAACAGATCCAAACAGATCCATAAACAAGTCCAACAGGTTTTTTATCACGAAAAAAAAAAACGAAACAAATCACAAATCAGGTTTGTTCAGGTCCAAACTCAGACCGCACTTGATTGTTCAGGTCTGACCCGGAACTGGACCTGTGGAGGTCCGATCACCGATCCCCAAAATTCACTGATTCAGATCCGATCCATTCAGGTCTGGTCCGATTTTAAACCGGTGTACAGCGCACCCTACATGTTACAACGGTAAAAGGTTTCCATAATATTTTAGAGGTATTATTTCAAGTAATTTTTGGTTGTTTTCTACCCTTATTGCGAAAACATGTTATTAATAGATTTGGAAGAAATCAATTTTACGTATACTTTCAAGATATCATCAGCACCAAATTGGATTGAATAATTTTAGAAAGTTGTTACATCACTAAGGCATAATATTGTTAGCAGCCCGATAACCATTGAAATAAGTAGGGAAAAAAAAAAGAGTTTTGACTGTTGTGAAATAAGGAGAAAATATAAGAGATGGAGAGAGAATTAATCTATATATATATATATATATATATATATATATATATATATATATATATATATATATAATTAGGGTTTGGTTGGATAAGAATATAAACTCTAGATTTAGAATATTCTGGAATGATACATGGAGGATAATTGATATTCACAAATATTTCATAACACTCCCCCTTGGATGTCCATTATCGAAGACTGTGCCTCGTTAAAACCTTATTAGGAAAAACCCTGTGAGATAAAAACCTAATGAAAGAAAAAAAATACAACATTCTTCGTAATACGCTCGAAATGTTGCCTCGTTAAAAACCTTAACAGGAAAACCCAATGTAAGACAAAACCATGATTAAGGGAAAAAGAGTGCAGCGCGTAATTTCTCCCCCTGATGAATACATAACTTGAGGCCTTCTAATGCAATGAATCCAAATAACCTAATGAAGACTTACTTGTTGAGTGTCTTCTCACATGATGCAAAATAGTATCATTCCTTGATTTCGATCCTCCCAAATCTTCAAATCTTTACGCGAACAAGTAAGTTTTCATATCACCATACCTATAACAATAATGCATGTGTTTGTCCACATTTCATTCGAAATCTCCGTTTAAAGTTGCCTTAACCATTAAACTTATACCCTCTTCTAGAGGCCGTCAATAATAGAAATTGATAATCATTATTTGATCAAACATTCTTTAATAATTATATGTCAATACATGATATTATTAATGTTGTTTTTCAATCTTGTATGAAATAATAATATAACACATGTAATTATATACATTGATCATGGTTCTTCTGGACCATAAGAAAACAGTCTCACGCATAAGTATCCCGTTGATATTATTTATATTAGAAGTTTCATAAATGACACGATAATTCTCATGCAAATACAAATAGTAATTCTTGATCTCACTAATTCTCATATGCTCAAACTTCAGGTTGAGATGTCAATAGTATAGTCACATAGACCAAAAGTTTGATATAATTACAATATTCAAAATATAAAATTGGTAGGGCTGGATATATAAATACGTCGTACATAAGTTCTTCGGGAACTATTTTTACATGAGTCATAACATGCTATAAACTCGACGTCATCAATAATTTCATCACAACTATAAGCCCATTGGAGTATATATTTTTTTTTTGTAATTTTCCATCAAAGTTACAAATACGCCTTACTATATTTTTGAACAAATATTCACACATACCACAATTATTGTATAGAAACTAATGCAACAATATGAGATGTAGAAAACAAAATATACAATGAGTAATGCATCTAACAACTTTCGATATATGCAGTGAATAATACATTAACCTAGACTCACACATGCATATGAACATACATAGGACTTAGAATAATGCAAGACACTGTACAGTGTGGATTTAAAAATCCATATTTCATTGGACTTCTGGTCTGTGATAAACCTATGATGATTATCATTATGTCGACATCAAAATGAACATATATTCCAGATCCCTTATTCACTAGTCCATTCTATCATGCATATGCATTATTTGTCGGTTCCATCATATACCGGTATCATCATATAATTCCTCAGGGTACAATTTTAATTTGCATGCTATTTTGACAATGATATCTGAATATATTTTCCATTGGTACCATCATAATTTTTATTACATCCTATGTCATCATCTATTGTAATAATTCAGATATATATACCACTTTTGGGGTATTTATACACTATGGTATTTATATACTATTACACTATCAAAAGTGTTAACTGCACTATCTTTCCACATATCATATCTATATTTTGGAACTGATCATACAACCCACACTTCAGGTGTAGTGATTCATGTATAATTGACAAGATTTTATCTCAATGTATACACATAATTTAATATGAACAAAATGTACCTTCAATGCTATGCAACATGAGTCATAACTGAATACAAATCAAATCATAAATGTACAATATATCTTGATAGTATATAAACAAAAGTTGGCATGTAATATTTCAAACTACCATTATAGGGATCATCAATTT